AATAAACTGACATTTATAAATGTATGAATCATATGTTTATAAACTGACTTTAAAAATAAACCTGTTTTCTTATAAAAGGTTAAATAAAACACAAATATTGGTGTTAATGTTTGACTGTAACTTTACAAACAGAACCTGATCCAGGAGGACCAGCTGACACCTGCTGTCCCTCTGAGCCCAAACAATCTGAACCAGAACCAGAACCTGATAAATTCTCACCTGTCTTCAACAAACAAACAAAGCTGTTTTCTGTAGTTCTACTCAGTCCTGAATCCTTCAGACTGAACCAGAACCAGTTCCTTTTGGTCTGGACCTGATGATTAACGCCCCCCMACAGGAACATGAACATCGGGGGGATCATCTTCCCTCTGGAGCAGGGGTCCAGAGACGAGGAGACGGTGGTCTATCAGGGACAGTATGACACCGAGGGGGTCCCGCACACCAAGAGTGGAGACCGCCAGCCTGTCCAGGTCAGCATAGAGGTGAGACATCTGGACCAGAACCAGAACCAGGACTAGAATCAGCAAATAAATGTTGTTGAAGCAGATTTTTATCAGATCTGAAGACATGTTTGTGTGAAACATTTAGTAAATACAACAGAGGGGACGCTGACTCAGCACTTGAAACAAACACTATGAAATCTGAGGGTCAGTGAACGCAGCACGGTCTAAAGTTCCTGCTCCTCTGGTGACCCTGGACACATGACTGCAGTCTGATCCCTGCTTGAGTGTGTTGGTCCAATCAGAGCAGAGCGTCTCTGCAGGACAGGTGAAGGACAGGTGAAGGACAGGGTCCTGGTCTTTGTGACGTTGTGGTCTGTGTCTCTGTGTCCAGTTCAACAAGGCTGGGACCTTTGAGACGGTCTGGCAGGCCAAGTACTACAACTACTACAAGAGGGAGCACTGCCAGTTCGGCAACAAGTTCAGCTCCATCGAGTACGAGTGCAAACCCAACGAGACCCGGACCCTGATGTGGATCAACAAGGAGGTCTTCAACTGAGCCGGGACGTCTTCCTGAACCTGTCCTCTCAAGTCCAGTTAGTTTGGTCAGCTGGACTTTAAGATGTGTGTGTGTGTGTGTGTGTGT